GCACTTTGCAGTAATGAAGGCAAACCACATACCCAAGTGCATTAGCACGTGCGTAGCTAGCATATTGTGGGAAGTATTATTCCCCTTTGCTCAGCACTTGTGAGGCCACATCCAGAACAACCTTTAGTGGAATACTGTGTCCTGTTTTGGCACTCAGTATAGGAGAGAGAAAGAGAAAATGGAAGGAGTTCAGGGGCAGCCTCCCCCAGTGGCTAGGGGACTGCAGCACGTTACATGAGCTGAGACTAAGAGAGCTGGATTTAACAAGTAAAAAGAACAGGCTGCAAGGAACCCAAATGTGGTTTTCTACCACCTAGAGAGCAGCTTCGGAGAAGACAAAAGCAGACTTTTTCCAGAGGTGCACAGGGAAAGAATAAAAGGGAGTTCTGACTGTGTACAAGACAAAAAATCACCATGAGAGTGGCTGAGCACTGCAGCAAGGCCCTGGAGATGCTGCACCAACTCCACCTGTGGAGATTTTCAAAACAAAACAGGACAAGGCCCTCCATAATTCCCTTCTGATCTTAATTCTACAATTCTAAAACCGAGACTCACACATCACACATACATATATGCATGTTAGAAGCATGACATGAACTGGTTAAAAATCAGTATAAAATAGTTTTTTAAAAAAAAAAAAGTCATGCCAATGTGTGACATCAGAAACCCTCTTCTCCATGGCAGAACAGTGATACTCTAGCTGCAAAAATGACACTAAAGAAAATAAGAATAAAACCTCAGTAATACGACTATGATGTTATTGAGGACATCTTATTATTAGAAGATCGACAAAATAAGCTGGATGGCACTGGAACTGCAATCAAGCACCAAGATGGCAGATATGAACTCATTAAAATATTAAATGCATAAGCTTTATTAAAACTGCAGAAAGACTGCTGTCTGTACAATCTGCTGAAGCCCTGCTGTTGGTTTCTCAAACTGACTCATCTGTCTCATAATTCTTTCGGAAAACTTGCAAACAGAGAATTACAGTAATCAAAATCTTAGGAGACATTAATAAAAATATGGAGGTATTCTCATGAAGATTCTAGTGGTTATTATATAAATAGCTCTTCTTTTAATAGCCCAAAAGACAAAAAGTATTTTTCAGCTCCAAGGCTGCCCTTAAAGCTAGTTGCATGTGAGGGAAATACATCTAAAAAGGGAGAGGGAAAAATCTGTGTCTTTTTCCAAGCTATTTTGACTAGTAACAGCCCAGTTTCAATATAAATTCAATATGCATAATATATGGAGGGGTTTACATTTGGCGTTTACAGCTGCACTTAGGTAATTTTATAGATGTATGTATAGATAAGCATAGGGTCAGGCATGGATACAGCAAACTGCTTAATACAAAGACAGAGATTTCTTGTTTAGTTGCCTAGCAATAAGATGAGACTCCTGGAAGCTAACAAATACCGATTAGAGAATGGAATAGAATTATTTAATGTATCTAATGTATCATACAAAAAGGAACATAGGGCTATTGAAGAAAGGGAAATGCTAGGCCAGAAAAAATCAATTCTATCTAGTGAAATCTATTCAGGAAATATGTGGTAGGAAGAAACTACAATATATAAATTAAAGAAAGCCTCAGTCTGTTCACTCTGTCAATATTTTTCATCATTATTCTTCTTTTAGCAGAAAGTCTAATTCCATCTTGGCTAATGGATCTGCCTTTTGAATTGCTGTGTTTAACTTTGTCCAGCCCCCTCAATAACGTCTGGAAGCTGGAGAGAGAGATATATTTTAAAAAACTGAACTGGATGAACATTATGGAATTTCTCTTCTTGGAAAACACAGTATGATACTAATGTAAAGTTTCGTGAGATTTACTAGACTTGTGGAAAGGCAAAAGTACACACGTGTTTTATTTGTTATGAAGAGCTTTAAAATGGCACTGATGCCTTTTAACACATTTATAAAGTCTCTTCTCTCAGTTCTTTCAATATTATGAATGTTTTTCTCTCAGTACTTCCAAAGTAGAACAGGAAGATCACAAGCCAAGGATAGGCAGCATACTACAAGTCCAGCAGATTGGAAGTACTTACTTCTTGGAGAAGTACTGACACTGATCTTTTTCCCTTATGATCCAAATTTAAATAGATTAGTCTACATTAAAACTGGGAAAACAGTGGCCACTGGATAGTATTGCAGCACTGCTTAGAAGTAGTGTGAACTTGTAATGCACATTCATGCATTATTTAAACTTGGAAGAAGACATGTGACTCATCTTTCTGCTATCCAACCTTTCTTTAATTCTTCCTTAACAAAGCCTTTAAAACAGTACATCCCAAAATCTGCTCCTGTTGGAGCTGTCACTTAACAGTATTCCATCTGCTTGGGACAGAAACAGTCAGAAAATTTCTCTCATGTCTGTTCCACCAGCATGAATCAAGACTAACTCCCCAGACTTCCTGCGTGACGCACTGACTCGGGGTTTGTCTACACAAGGAAGTAAACATAAAGGAAAACTCGACTCAATTCAGAGCACAGTACCAACTCTGAACTAACTTCCAGTATAAACATTCTTACCACACAGAAAGCAAAGGCAGTTTTCCCCGCTCTGAATGTGGATTAAACTACTTTTAACAAAGACAGCCCTAACAAAATCCAAAGGTGTAATCACATTCCATAATGCAGTGCTTTACAAAAATAAAGTCTCATTATCAGAAGCAGCATGTCTTTCATATTGTCATATATATCTGGCTTCTCAAATGTTCCCTCATTTAATTTAGGGGTAGTTTTAGATACTGTACACAGCTTTGCATTTTGGCATGAAAATACCCTTTCACTGACTGTCCACAATATGTATTTGTACAGAATAGCCTGTAACTTTATACTTAAACAGCATTAATTTTTCCATGAAGACAATGCCTTAATTTCTTAATCTTCCTTCCCCAGTTGCAGAGACTGCTACACAGACTAATTAACTGCACCTTGATTCGGTCTTGTACTGTGGCTCCTTTGTCCTTGTTAAAGCAGTGTGAAACACCCTTAAATGGGACATAAACTATATTTACTACACGAAAGGTCCTAATAAAACTGGAATTTACTGATTTTTCTATATTGTTCAGACACTATAGTTATAGAAACTACATAAATATCTGGAAAAGCAGAAGCAGATAAAAATGAAGGACATGCAAGTGAAGATTTTGACATATGAATCATATAGAAATTCAACCAGTGTTAATTTACTGAGATGCAAATTGATTGGCGGTTTCATTATGGTACTTTCTGTGTAATAGTAATTTACAGCTTTCTAATAATTGAATCACCTGTGCTCCTACCACCTATGTGCTAAAAAAGCTAAGAGACAATAGTACTTATTTGCACACATCCATTAGAAGATACCTGCTGTTTACAGAGATCTGTCAATAAAGAATAGATGGTCTGGGGTGAACAGCATTATTCCTAGGTCCTTCTACCACATCTCCAATTTTGAGACTGTACAAAAAAGTGCAGTCAACCCTCTCTACCCATCTCTCACAGATCCCCAGAACAATCCAGCTCTAAGGAAATCCATGTGGTCAACATAAAAAAAAAATCATAATCTCTTTGGAAAAAAACTGTAGAGGAGTAAAGGCACAGAGTTTGCTCTGATCTCTTGTTGATTCTCACAAATTTCATATACATTCTGTGGCATAAACACTGATTTCAGAGAGTTTCTGAAAAAGAATTAACTGGATAGAAACCTCCAAGGCAGAAGTAAATAGTTTCCTCATTTGGGGCGATGTGGCAATCTTTCCATTTGATCTGATACCATACATACAGAATCCAAATTTTGCTTTTTTTCCTATGTCATAAGAAATAATAGCTTGAGCTATTAATTTCAGTGACATGCACCTGTAATTTGACCTCTGCTCTTCACTCCATCTTTTTATTTTGATCTTGACAAGTCACAAGAAATGTAACATTTGGTTTGAACTCTTAATTCATTGTGAAAGTAGTACATTGCCTACCCCGCTTTCATATTTCCACATTACTATTGGCATAAATAATAGCCAAAGATCTGCTGCCAATTCCATAGCAAAGATCATGTCTAATTTGTAAGATGAACTGAAAGAAACTGGTATTATCAACATACTTACAGTACTCACTGCCTGCAAACACCAATGTAGAAGACAATGCATCTTACTTGCTGTATTGTGACAGTAACAGGTTATTCTGCATTTAACATTTTCCAATGCTTCACAGTGCATGAGAAACCAAAGTACTTCTTGTTCCCAACCAAGATCGAGTAATCCTGGTTACTTATGGTTACTCCAGTGTGGAGAAAGTGAAAGGGACATGCTCTGGTGAGTATTTACACGCCCCCTGTATGAAGTGTGACTACCCTTTTCTAGCTAAATTATACACCAGCAAATAGCCAAGAAACTGTATTAGCAATTAAAGTTGATAATAAAACATGTTACAAATATATGTAGCCCAAAACATTTTTTGGGTGGCCATATCAGCAAAGGTTATCGAGCTAAATGCACCATAAATTCTACTCGCAGTATCATAAGCAAGGTAATAATGCCATTCTTTCTTCAATTAAATGTCAGTAGGGCATACACTGCTTTAGGCAGTCTTATATTCTTTCTTTTTACTACCCAAACCACAAACCTTGATTTCACTGTCTATTTCTAAAATTCCTTTCAAAAATTAGTAATTATAAGGACTGCATAAATCCTGCAACTGAATAACAAAAAAGACATTTGGGTGCAAGCATATTTTGTATTCTTTCATCTACAGATTTGGAGATTTACACTCCCTGTAAGTAACCATACTTAAAACTGAGATAAAGCAAGTGTTGTACTCTCTCACTGTAAGTAGAAAATACCCATCCCACACTCTGTGTTTGTTTGTTGTCCTCTTAGTCAGGTACACCTCAGGCAAATCCTGCCTGTGAGACAAGATGTTGTCCTTCAAGCGAATTCCTTTGAATTCTCCCTCTTAAAAAACAGTCCATGAAAGCAAGAATCAATATTGTAGTAGTCTGAGCATAATTTATTAGATTACAGTTAATTACAGTTGTTACCTGTAATAGGTTATAACACCATACAGAGGAGCCGGCATCACATGAGGCTAGATCATCAACTGACATCACAAGGAGGCCAACAGAGTTCTCGGTACTTTTTCTTCCAGGCAGCCCTAGCTGCATTTAGTGGTGATTTCCCTTGAAAAGCTCTGTCACAGCAATTCTGAGAGGGACAGCAGAAGTGACGACTTTGCATCTTGTAAAAGAATGAATGGTTTGAAACACCAGTGCCAACCCTTTTAAGATCAGCTCTAGCAGGACTGAGGAGTGAGATTTCTGACATCAGCTTTGTTTGCTTACCTTCCAGTAAAGTTTCCAGCTGCAAAAGCTTCTTTTGAATCCTGAGGTTCACTGATTCCAAGATTTTGCTGGCCTAGAGTATTAATACTGAAGTGTGTGTGTGGGAGGTATTCCTCTTTTTCTTGATAGCTGGCTAAACCCCAAAGAAAACAGTGCTTCTTAGTAATATTTACAGGGATTGGAAAAGAAAAAGATATTAAATTTAATCAGACATAATAAAAAGATAGTATTCTTGATATGAATTCACATCTGAAAACATAAATACCATGGTGATGTTCTGCATTTTTCAAAAAAAGCCTGAAGACTTCTTCTATATTATTTTTGCCTAAAACATGTAAACCAATGAAATAGCAGTTTGAATAAAGGAGCAACAATTGGCTGAATACCAACTAGGATGTTCTTTCTGTTGAAATATCCTTGATCTTGATAAAGACTTGTAACCTTGTTAAAGCCATCCGTCCTGCAGAGATTTGTGCAGAGAGCACTATCAGAAGGGAGGAAGCCACTAATGAGTTTAATGTATCAGCAACGCAAATATCAGATCTTCAAATGCTGTATCTTACTCAGAATTTCTGCAGATCTGGGTAGTCGCTGGACCTGAACGTGAATTACAATTTCTTTTACAAGACCTGTTGTTCTTACTTCTGTTGAGCAGTGACAACAATCTCCAGCAAGTATAGAGTTAAATTTCCTGTGCGGCTTTCACACAGGTGCTCAAGGTGGGGTAAAGAGGCCACACGGAACTAGATAAGATTACACTCAAACATTTGGAGGGTCCATGCAACTTTGATAAGAAGAGAGAAAAGACTTCAGAAGAAGCATTCAAAACATAGCTGCTAGAAGGTAGAGTACATGCTCAGGTGGGTTGGGTTTTTTTACCTGTATTCTATCTGATGTTTCTGTAGCAGTTATGATACAATTTGGGCAGGATGAAGCTTGTTACAGATAAAATCTGTCTTCTGTAACTTGGCTTCTACTGCTTTGCAACTTTTGCTAATACCATAAAGAAAAAACAGAGTGGAGCACTCTGCACCCAAAGTTCACCTCCAGTCAATTCAAATGGAGTATAACTGTTCTTGGCATCTTTCTTTGCCTTGCCTCTTCATGTTGTACTGCCATGAACAATTCACTGAGCGCAAAGCAATTGTCAGTCCTTTAAGTGCAGTCTTCTTGAAGAAGCCATCCTTTCTGCAAGTGACCCTCTTGGCAAAGTAGTGTCTGTAGGTACAGTTAGTTGTGTGTTAAGCAGGAAGGGTATAATTTTGGATGATTACAGGTAGGGTGATAGATAATTTCCAATACATAATATAATCTAGCTTTGTATTAATTCTTCCTCATTTTAGTTGACTGATGGGACTACACCTCTTGCCCACCAAACTTCACTATCAATTTCCTGGAAATTAATGCTTATGTTGAAGAAATTAATGGTATCCATAGTTCTTGCTAAGAAACTACAGAGGTTAAGGATGCTACCCAAATCTGTTGATAAAGAAACAAATGTGCATTATATTCTTACTATTAATTTAAGGGCGCAAATCTGAAAATAAGGAAGCTGTATCTTTTGTTTATGAGGAAAATGTAAGTCAGGATAACACAAAAAAGACTGAACAAAAATTAAGTTTATCCTAAATAAATACCATAGCCTATGTCCCTGATATTTGTGTAGGAGCAATATACCATTTGTTTTCCTTTTTGCAAATGTTAGTGTTACAAAACAAGCAAATTTTTTTTTCTGTACATATTTTACTTGAAATCAATCCCTTATGGGTTCTGATTGCCATGAAAAGTGAAACTGGGAAACAGAGATTAGAGTCCTGAAAAAGTAGAAGAGTTTTATAAAGACTCAGAGAATACAGCTGTTGTTTCACTCCACTTTAAAGGCAGCCAGCCTTAGTCCTTATTTACCTATATGAGGTGAGCTGCTTTGCTTAAGTCCTTGAACTTTTCTCTGTGGCTTCTATGTAGGTATACACAGGAAAAGTAATCCTACTTATCTTTTCAAATTACCAAGTTAAACCATGCTATATTTATAATCAGGCATTCTTATTGCTCAAAATTGGTTTGGTTTAACTAGGTTTTTTTTTAATTTACTTATAAAGTGTGTTAATAATTTAAGACACCTAGCAGAAAGTATCAAGTTCTAATTTCAATTAATCCACAAACTCTGTGTATTTGGACTCCTCTTCCAGAGTGCTCTGCTGACACATCCTCAGCCTTGTGCTTTTTCTATTTGTCACAATACTATCATGATTCTATATCTGCTTGGGTAGAAGACATAATGTGAGTATATTTACAATGTGGTTGCTGGAAGTGAGATGAAAGGGAGCTGGGTAAGAATGTATTTGTTACTTAAGAAAATCACAACCAAGGAAGAAAAGGACAAGTATAAGGAACACTAGAAAGCTTTTACCAAGTTAACTGAGAATGGAAACACCCATTGGCAGGAATAGTTTTGACATCATTTGTATACGTTTTGGCTTCTCTAGGTACTTTAGCCCTTTAGAGGAGTACAAAGCTGAGCTCTTGTTCATGTTTTCTCCTCTAGCTTCTAATCTGTTTCCTTCAATCAGAACAGGTTTTAAATTACTGACTCCTATTTTTCTTAAGCTTTTCCATCAATGTTATTTAGGAAACAACAGTAACAAACCTGTTATTTTTCTAATGGAACTAGATTAAAATCTGAGTTAGTATATTTGAAGCAAGTACCCTTATAGCTTTGCTCTCAGCTAATTCTCTGAGCTGCTGCATTCAATAAATGAGTCAATAATGTATACAGAATGCTGAGTCAAAATAATCCACAAGAAAACTGTCAGTAGTTACAAGGCTATATCCTTTTGCATTTCTTTAGGGCCTAAACAGAGTTCCACTCACTAAAAATACAGTACTGAGTCTCTAGAAGGAATAAAGGCTTTTCACTAGCTCAAGAGCGTTTTTCATGTCACTCTCTTAAATACTTCAACCAGAGCAGGCTCAGCTCTCACAGTATCTGAAAAATGCGGAAACCAGAAATTATCTAGGAACTTAATCTCTAGAAAATTTTGTAATTCAACCCGGTACCATCTCAATCTAGGGATTCAGCTATTTACATCTGAAACAAACTGTGAGCAGGTGCGTTAACTTGGATTCACTGGACGTGGGGCTTCTGTTTCAATACACTGCATGTAAATGCTAAACTGAAAGCCTTGCAAAATTAAAATAATTTCAGTAAACCATTTATATTAAGCAGAACAACTACCTAGTATGAAATTATGTTTACTTGTATTTTTTCACTTAAAACAACAATAAAACACAAGAAAAACAAACAAACATCCAGAAACAAAACCACTTCCTTCTTATCAAGGAAATCCAGGAAAAAATGACCCATTTGGAGAGTCTTCTGATTATTGGTATTTTACAATAAACATACATAGAGCTCTTCCCCCATTCACCTTGCAACGCTTCATGAGATTGCTCACCAACCATAATACAATTCCCACAGCTCTTTGGAGGCTGTTGCCAGGTGGCAAGGCCATACTAGCTCAGAACCTGCAAAAGAACTTAGTTTTCATGATCTTTTCAGACCTTTCATTTTTACTCAAAATTGCACAAGAGACAATCCAGAGAAATGAGATCATGTTATTCAAATACATCTCTGAAGTCCTTTTTACTTTTTGTTAATGATTATTCATTTGTAAGTTCACTAAACTTGTGAAGCTGGCTAATGGGAAATAATTCTATGGTGCTGAAATGGCTCATGTTGCCCCAGAAAATTAAGTATTGTCAATCTTCACAATACATTTAACATTTTCATAGAATCATGGAATGGTCTGGGTTGGAAGGGACCTTAAACATCATCTAGCTCTAACCCCCCTGCCACCAGCCCAGGTTGCCCAAAGCCCCGTCCAACCTGGCCTTGAACCCTTCCAGGGAGGGGGGAGCCACAGCTCCTCTGGGCAACCTGTGCCAGGGCCTCATCCCCCTCACAGGGAACAATTTCTCCCTAATATCTAACCTAAGTCTACCCTCATTCAGTTTAAAACAGTTCCCCCTCATCCTATCCCTCCCCCCTTTCCTGCAGCCCCCTTTCAGTCCTGGCAGGCCACTGTAAGGTCTCCCCGGAGCCTTCTCTTCTCCAGCTGAACTCCCCAACTCTTTGCCTGATTTCCCTGTATTTTTGCTTCCTCCTGATGACTGAAAACAGTAAGTATCTTTTCTTCAACCTTTTCCTAGCTCTTCCATCCAATAATAGAAAATCTGGCCCCTACAGCAACCTAACAGAGTTTTAATGCTATCCTTTGTCATTAAATTATATTAACAGCAACCATTGATAGCTATTATATGTGAATGTTACCTTAAATTGTAAGAAAACATGCTACATTTCTGACCATAGAAAAGTAAGGCAAACAGCAAGGAGTAACTAAAAGTATATACATATTCCATGGTGTATTCCTAGTGTTTCCTACAAACACACATCGTGACACAGCATTTTCTGAAATTAAAAAGATAATACAAAATTATTTGGATAATACCAAGTGCAGGGTTTTAATAATAGTAAGTAATTTCCTAACCATACTTCTGAGTTCATCAATAATACATTTTTATAAAGACAAGAGTAATGCAGTGCAGCTATAGGACACTCTGATGCTCTTCCAACTCAATCAGCTGTAATTTGTGTTCGGCTCCAGTAGGTGTTTATGAATATGGTAAGTATTTCATTTAGAAGAAGACTGCCACAAAACCACTTAAGCAGGCAGATTACATTGGAATCAAGCCAATACATTTTAAAACCGATACAAGGATTATTACTTCTTAAACACCATACAATTAAACCACAGAACTCACTAAGACATGATATTGGAGAGGCCTAAAACGTGTCAAAATCAGACATTAACATAGAAAATTGAAATACTAATAACTCCAAAAATTACAAATTATAGACAGGCTTTAAGGTAGTTCAAACATGAACTGGCAGTGGTTAGGAGAAAGAAAAGCTCTTTTGGCAAATAATGAAAACAATAAATTTTAAAGCTTTATTGTAAAGCTGGTACTAACCAATGTCAGAAACAGAACACTGCAGTACATCACACTCACTGCGCTGATGCTAAAGAATATGAACAAATTTGTCATTTTGGAAGAGTAGAGAACATAAAAATTTTGCAGCTTACATGTTTCCCTGAACTAGACCTCCTGAGAAGACAGTTACTGTTGGGTTTGGGGTGTTTTGTTTTTTGTTGTTTTTTTTTCCTAAACCATTCTGAGAATACATATGCAATCTTCCTCTTTGAAAGTTATGATGACTATGCATTAGTACAATTATATCGGCTAAAAATATTCACTGTTCTAAATAGGACTCTGAAAGCAAAGCAAGCTGTACTGCTATGGGCACTGTCTCACTCTCCTTAGTTGCCTGTATAAACATTCACTGATGAAATATCAGTATCTCCGACGCTTGAGTATTCTAGGCAGTTTTCACTGGCTAACTGTAAAGTCACACCCCAAATATCTTTCCAAATTTCTGACAAAGAACCACCATAAGAGACCTGTGCAATTGTAACTGCCAGACTAATTGCTATACTTCAGAAATCTATCAAGCCTTCAGGGTCTTAAATAGAGAATAAGGAGGTTTGTCAAATTTTAAAAAATATATCTGATAAAGGACTGGTTGTGAGCAGCAGGAAATCCAGATGCTGAGTTAAGGTATAGGGAACAGCATTTCAGAAGACGACTGGATGAAAGCAAAATCATTGATTTTATTAGGTAGAAGACTCACTGAAATCTACTGCAAAGGGTTTTCCAAAGAAAGGGAAAAAAGAAATGACCTCCCAGGTGGCTAGAAGTCCACTACTGTTTAGAAGGGTTGGAATGCTCTTGCCTCAGTGAGGCTTGTCAAATCAGCCTCACAAGAGTCATCTCTACAGATATTCAGAAGTTTAATACCAATAGATACTCTGCAAATTAAAATCCTGTAGAGAAGTAGCACAAAGCCTTCTGCAATACCTTCACACCACCCATGCTCTATTGCACAAATTAGGCACATAACCAATATATTAGTGCATTTTTCCAAAAGACAATGCAAACAATTCTTAGTGCATCTGCACAGTATAAATGGGTTTGCTATTAAGAGCATTCTGCTTCAGTAGAAGTGCCAAAATAAAAAAAAAAAAGTTAAAATGAAAAATATAGGTGTGTTTGTTCAGTTTGGCTTTGGTTTTTGTTGGAGTTTTTTCCCCCAGACCTTTCTTCTACAGTACAGCTCTCCTTGAGACAGACTTCTATCACAGGAAAAACTGTATGAGTATATTTGGTTAGTTTGTGCCAGCTGCTTCATTCCTGGGGTGGGTCAGGAACTAGGTATACATGGCTTTGTAGGAAAATGAGACTCGCTTGAAAAGGCAGGCAGAAAAACTGTTTAGAAAGTAAGAAGTCGCAGGAGGTGATTATGTTGGAGAAATGAGCATGGAGTAAGCTAGGGTGTGAATTACTTTGCAGCAATTCTCTACATGGATGCTTTGGTTCTTATTATATGCATGTCTATACTACATTAATGGGGCACTCTGCATAAAACCCAACCTAGCTAGATCCGCAACCAGTACAGTGATGAGATGCAGTATTTACTGGAGATGGTACAGTGCCACACTGCTACAGCTACCCTGTCATCAGCAACCCGTCTGGAATCTCCACCCAGCAGGACTCAGCTTTGTAATCACTGCAATGAAACCTACTACACAGGCTAAGCCATGGTGATTCCAGCTTGGCAATAGTAAGGAAAAACTCTGCAAAGCTCCTTTTCCACATTTTGAGGGTTGTTTTGGTAGACGACAGCAGCCAGCCCGGGTTCTGAGCCATGCCATATGCGCAGCAAGAGGCATTCCTCTTCCTTTCAGCCAGATGCTGCATCTGTGGCAGCAACTCCTGTTTCTGTGCCACACTGTCTGCAACACAGTAGGTTCCTCATGACACTTTACAGACAACCCTTCTCCTCTAAATACCCAGTGGCAGTGCACTCAAGTTGGTATTATACATAGATTCTGCAAGTTCAGACTTGCAGAAACAAATCCAGAACTACCACTATGTCTATTCTAAACCAGCTTATTTGAATTAAAGCATTACTGGTGTTCAGGGCAAATGGAAGAGAGAAAGGGAGAAAATACAAAGCAGGGGGGAATTTGGACAATGCTCTAAGGTGACTGACAGGTGCAAGGTGATACTGAAACTGATAGCTATTACATTTAATTTGCTATTTTTTTTTAATTATTTTTGTGAAGTCAAGGGAACAAATTGAAAAAAATTAGTTAGGTAAATTTCTTGCATATAAACAATTGGGCTGCTACATTCTCAGACATGAATAATGGTGTCTTCCACATTATGGAATTTAAGAAGTGAGATGTATAAAATAGAAGGTATTTCACAATCTTTTTTGTCCTCTGTACTAGTTTGCTGCCTTCATCAATTGTACTGTGCAGCTAGTCTATGAGGCTGACAAAATGTGGCACAGATGTGAAAGAAAGCTATGAGCAGCCAAGTGCAGAAACTTCTTAGGTTCCCACCTGCTGAAGTCAGTGTGAGCTATGGAATAGCACATATCCTGCTGGTCTTAATATAATGCAGGATTGAGTCCCAAAAAAAGTCACATTTTTAAGAAGACAGCAATCATTTGCTGCTATTCTCTTACCGACCAAATGTTGGGGATTTTTCTGTTGTTATGGTAATAAGTATTTTATAGTATGCTTTAAAATAAATTTAAAGGTGATAGTTTATCAATATGTACCTATCATGTTTTGAGTTTTTTTCCACTCTCTTCTCCCCTTCCTCCCCTTTCCCCTGCCCGCCCCAGAAAAGAGATAAATTCTCCGTAATTTTCACTTACGGGGTCTCTGCCCTAAACAGTGCTGGAATGCTTATGCTGGGAACACTGCATGAGAATATTCTGCCATCCAATGCAAAAAATATCCTTGCTTTCAGTGCCATTTTTAAGATTTGCAAGTATTTTTACTACTTTTTACTCTGAGAATATTTCAATAATGTTAACTGGGTTTAATTTTGGTTTAAATCTTATTGACTTTGCTGTTGCCTCTGTGCCCACTGACCCCTCCTTTCAAACTGAATTCCATTGATTTCAATGGCTTGCTTTCTGCACAGTTCTGTTCTTGCGGATACATACACGAGGTCCAAGATCTTGCAGTAATATGGCTATTGTTAAACGCAGGAAAGAGTCGTTATATAAAAAATCTGGTATGACAAGTACCTGTCACAGTTACGTTCACCCTTATGCAATATTTATGTGCTCAAAACTTACTTTCAGGTAGTTTATTCAAGATTTTCTGTAAGACAATCTGATAAGTAAACTGTCCTTAATGCTTACAGGTATGAGATGGGGAAACCTATCTTGAACAAACTTCATCCCAGATAAGATGCAACATAACAACTGCTGTAGGCCAGCACCCCTTTAGGCCTCATGTAACCCTTGGTACATTGTAGCACACTGTGTTGAAAGCGTTAGGAATGAGGTTGGCTCTGGGAAACTGGAACTTCTGCAGTACCATTTGTTCGGACTTGCCGTCTATATGGTTCAAGAGTTATTACATGTATCACTTTCTCCCAGTCATCTGAATTATGAGTCATACAAACCAAAAGCGGAAGGCGTATGTGTGAACAAAGCAGATGTAGATGCTTGTGGAGTCTGTTGTCAGGTTTACTGAGCTCTTGTTTTCTGCCCTGCCTCATCTAGGGCAAATAAGTTCAAATCTTTGGCAAGTCCAGGTAGCTGCTGCCTCTGCCACAATCTACGACTGAGACCTACTGTTAAAGGATAAAACCTCCCACTGGTAAGTCTCTGGAAGTCTCCCATTACTCAAACTTCCACCTACAGCTATAAGCCTGGCCATCTTTGTTTTGTTTAACTGAGCAGGAGCAAGCAAACCCCACCAGCTGTGTGCTTAGCATGATAAACGCATAAAAATATCTCTAGAATCCTGGTCGTCTGTAGGTTGCCTACAAGACACCCTGCCACAGAACAGGCCAGTTAATAGCTAAAAGCACATACAGAGATAGAAATAGTTTCCAAACCCAGAAAGCAAACCTGAAATTGGATCCGTACAAACAGGCTCTTGGAGCTCAAATAGCAAGTCTCCTCCTTCGGATCTGATTGCAAGCTGAGGACTATACTCTACGATCAGCTAATTTTTTACCTCAACCAAATCTGAAGTGTTGTCTGACTAAAGGGAAATGTAGGCTTCAATAAATCTATTAAATTAAAACCAAACCCTTAAGGGGATATATATTGAACTAACCTTCTATGACAGAATCAACTGTAACTCACGCTCTAGGCCTCTAAACTGGGGCTCTCTGAGGGTTGAGGCACAGGAGCGAACAGCGAAGGAAGGCGGCAGCCCAACTGCCGCCATTAACCGGGTACGCCACTTGCGCAAATTCCCCTTCCCCGCTAGGCCCTACCGCCAGCCATGTAGCGTAACAGCTTTCGTGAATACGGATGCTGCACTGCGGCGATGGCACAGTTCAACCAAACTTCCTCCGTCCCCCGCCCACTTGGGCGTTAAGGCCACCCCCTTCCTCGACTGTGATTGGCAAGACGGGCGGAGCCCTTCGCGGCGATTGGCGACTGCTGGCGGGAGGTGGGGTAGGTTGCGTGAAGGGTAATAAAGTTAGTGGGTCCGCGGCGGTGCGCCTTAGACGCGGCGGCGGGTCGGCTCTCTATGGAGGTGGCGGGGGGACGCGCTGGGCCGTGGCTGCTCCCGCTGTGGTGACCGGAGACTCGCCCTGTCTCGCGCGCTCCCCCTTCCCCTCCCCAGCCCCGGTCCCCGGCTCCCTTCCCCTTCCCCCCCCTTCTCTTGCCTTTTCCCCTGCCCTTGGTAGCCGCCGGGACCCGGGGAAGCTGACAAGGCCTTAGGGAAGGTGAGAGACGCGGGAGTAGCGGGAGAGGGGTTTGGGGCCGGGAGGGACCGGGTGCTGCTGCAGCTGCCGCTTAAGATGGCGGCTCTCCGAAGTGGCCGCCATTTTCTCGTCGGCTTCTTCTCTCTTTCTTCCGCACAAAATGGCGGCTCGGGCCGATGGCCGCCCGCTCTCGGAT